GTCCCCTGGCCACACCCACCCCCATGCCCCCCGGCACATCCACATGTCCCCAGACACACACACGTCCCCCGCACACCCGTGTCCTCCTGCACACGCCTGTCCCCAGCACATCCATGCCCATGTCCCCAGGCACACAGACATCCCCAGACACACACACATCCCCCACACACTCATGTCCTCATGCACACGTATGTCCTCGTGCACACACATGTCCCCAGCACATCCATGTCCATGTCCTCAGGCACACACATGTCGCCAGACACACACACCTCCATGTCCCCAGACACACACACATCCCCAGGCACACACACGCCCCCCCACACGCATGTCCCTGTGCACATACGTGTCCCCTGGGCACACACAAGTCCATGTCCCCAGACACACACACGTCCCCCGCACACTCATGTCCTCATGCACACGCATGTCCTTGTGCACACCCATGTCCTCATGCACACACATGTCCTCGTGCACATGCCTGTCCCCAGCACATCCATGTCCCCAGGCACACGTATGTTCCCAGGCACACACATATATGTCCCCTGGGCACACACAAGTGCACATCCATGACCCCAGGCACACACATGTGTCCCCTGGGCACACACACGTCCTCCAGACACACACACATCCTCCAGACACACACACGTTCCCCTGCACACCCATGTCCCCTGTGCACACCCATGTCCTCGTGCACATGCCTGTCCCCCACACACTCATGTCCTCATGCACATGCATGTCCTCATGCACACACATGTCCCCTGGGCACACACAAGTCCATGTCCATGTCCCCTGGCACACACACATCCCCTGCACACTCATGTCCCCTGTGCACACCCATGTCCTTGTGCACATCCATGTCCCCAGGCACACACACATCCTCATGCACACTCATGTCCTCATGCACACGCATGTCCTTGTGCACACGCCTGTCCCCAGCACATTCATGTCCATGTCCCCAGGCACACATATGTCCCCTGGCCACACACATCTCCATGTCCCCCGGCACATACACATGTCCCCAGACACACACACGTCCCCCGCACACCCGTGTCCTCCTGCACACGCCTGTCCCCAGCACATCCATGCCCATGTCCCCAGGCACACAGACATCCCCAGACACACACACAATGTCCTCATGCACACGCATGTCCTTGTGCACACACATGTCCCCAGTACATCCATGTCTGCACACACATATGTCCCCTGAGCACACACATGTCCCCTGGGCACACACATCTCCATGTCCCCAGGCACACACATGTCCCCTGGGCACACACAAGTCCATATCCCCAGGCACACACATGTCCTTGTGCACACCCATGTCCTCGTGCACACGCCTGTCCTCAGCACATCCATGTCCATGTTCCAAGGCACACACACATGTCCCCAGGCACACACACATGCCCCCTGCACACCCATGTCCTCATGCACACGCCTGTCCCCAGCACATCCATGTCCATGTCCTCAGACACACACATGTCCCCTGCACACTCATGTCCTCATGCACATGCATGTCCTTGTGCACACGCATGTCCCCAGCACATCCGTGTCCATGTCCCCAGGCACACATATGTCCCCTGGCCACACACATGGCCATGTCCCCAGGCACACACACACGTCCCCAGGCACACACACGTCCCCTGCACACTCCTATCCTCATGCACACACATGTCCTTGTGCACACCCATGTCCTGGTGCACACACATGTCCCCAGTACATCCATGTCCATGTCCCCAGGCACACACACGTCCCCTGCACACTCATGTCCTTGTGCACACGCATGTCCCCTGTGCATGCACAAGTCCATGTCCATGTCCCCAGGCACACACACCTCCATGTCCCCAGGCACACACACACATCCCCACGCACACCCACGCCCCCCGCACACCCCTATCCTCCTGCACACCCACGTCCTGGTGCCCACGCCTGTCCCCCCCCCAGCCGCACACACACGTCCCGGGGGGGGGGGGGGGGGCGGGCC